CCGGCGCGGAGGCGGCCGGCGCGGGGAGCGGCGGCGGAGCCGCGGGCGAGGGGGCCTGCAGGGAGGGAGAAGGGGAGGGCGACAGAGGAGTCTCGGCGGCGGCGGCGCAACCGGCTGCGGGAGCGCCCGCGATGCCGCCCGCGGTGTCGCCCGTCATCGTCTTGTTCTCCCTAGTGAGATCTATAGATGCCGCACTCAGTATTTCATTCTACTGGACTTGAAAGTCATTGTGGTTGGATGCATGTTCCACCTAAATGATACTCATGTGTGTGTAGTGGACTTGAAAGTCCATGTCGTCGGAGGCTTGTCCCCGGCTGGGCCTAATACGAGTATCTGTTGGCAGTGCAAACCCTAGCTTCTCTCCCTCGAACTCTGCTACTTTTCATTTCATTTATGAGAAATAGCGCTGTTCTTAGTTTCAATTAGTTGGGGCCTAACAACCTGGTTGTGCTGTACCTCCGTCCGCCCACATCTGCAGGCCTGCTCATCTGTTGCCCCATGCTTGGCTCTCTGTACCGCTGCAAATGCCTTGCTTGCTTGGCTTCCTGTTGCCCCACGTGTTGCTCTCCGCCTTCTAGCTTGCATTGCTTGCTTTGCTACCTGCTGCCCTGCATCTTGCTTTCCTCAACAGCTGCTCACATTGCTAGGTACTCTGTGCTGTCCCAGGGTAGATTTGTTTACTCAATTAAAAAAAAAATGTTGCCGTCATCGGGCATAGTATCTTTCTTGCTGTCCGGTGGCGTTCTCCATGTGTGGCTTTCCATCACTCGCTCTCGTCGCCGGTGGCACTCTCCGCGTGTGGCCATCCGTTGCACACGCTCCTCGCCTGTTGCGCTGTCTGCACATGCTCTCCTCCGAAAGCCAGTTACTCGCCAGTCGCTGCCTTCGTCCGATCATTCCCGCCTCCGCAGCTGGCTTCCCGTCGCCCGCTGCTGGTCTTAATATGCCAGGCCAGTCTGATGGCTTTTTGAGCGGTGGTCGTTTCACCGGCACCGTCTCGCACATACACCTTCCGCCGGTGTTGGGTGCTCATCTGCTAGTTGCAATTCTCCGCTGCTCTCCCTCCTCCACAGCCTCCTGCAGACATGATGGCTCCTGTATCATTGTCTCGTGTCTGCTTTATAGCTTCTAGCTCTCTATTTTCCACTGCGTCCAGCAAGTCAATTGCTCTTCTATGTTTCTCATGTCATGCGAGTCCACCAAACCCTTATCTGCCGGCCTTTTTTTCTGGCCCTTTCTGTACAACTTTTGTGGCCTTTCTGGTCGTTGTTGTTTTCTATAGAATTTTCGTGGCCTCCTGATATAGGGCCAAGCCCTTTCTAGTGATCTTTCATGAATTGGAGGGGAAAACTTTGAAGAACACGAAGAACACGGGAAAGAACATGGAGAAATCACAAGAGGAACACTCAAGAACAAGTCCAATCACACGTCCACTAGACTCACATCCACATAAGATCCACAAGGTACATGAACAACAAAGGGAAACAAGGATACATGGTAAGGTTCATCCCAAATCCCGTGGGGAGATGAGATCTTGAATCCAAGATGGATCTTCCCTAGATAGGGGTCTTGATACCTACTAGGGGTCTTCTCACATGGAGGCCTTGATCTCCATGGGAGAGGTGGTAGATATAAGCAAAGCTCTCTAGATCT